TCTTTTCCGGCGCTTCATCTCTCTCAGCTCCTCGGTAAACCAGGGAGCCAGTTGAGATCTGCGCCGGGTCAGAGGCCGCAAAGGCACGACTCGGTCCAATGCTGTGGCAGCGGCCACATCCCAGGCCGCCGCCAAATTTTCAGCCGAGTCATGAACTAGATCCTCAGGATATGGCCCAAGCTCCGTCAGGAACCTCTCTGGGTCCATCAGGCGCCTGGGGCGGAACCATCTATGCGGTTTAATGCAAGTATGAAGTTAGTCAATGTCTTCTAACCCTAAGTTGTAGTTTTACCATTTTAATCACCTAGCCATAGTTAAGAAACAATCATGTCTTTTCTTTTTCATTACTAACACTGTGCAGTTTCAGTAGTAACTTTGGTGAGTATTTTTAAGTTAAGTGAATAATTGCATTTGTTAAGTTAGTAACATAGTTGTTAAGTGAATCTGGCTTCCTCATTGACTTTGCTTGTCAGAAGGTTGCAAAAGCTGACCACAGGACACTGCAAATGTTATAAATATGAACCAGTTGCCAAACATCTGAATTTTGATCATGCGACCATGGGAATGCTGCAATGGTCGTGAAAAATGGTCATAAGTCACTTTTTTCAATGCCATTGTAACTTTGAATGGTCAACTGTTGTAAGTCATGGACTACCTATATTGATGTATCGTTTTAATGATGGCCTCTTATAGAAATGGAAAAGCTCAGATTTTTCAGATACTGCTTTTTTACTACTGGCTTGCCACACCGTTGGCCTTGTTCAAGTGATTGAACTTGTTTCACCCTGGATCAGGTGTATCCAACCTTCATGCAGCACTGGACAGTTAGTAATCCGCCCCCACATTTGTAACATTTTAACATTATGATTTATATACATTAATTATATATTTTATATGCAGCTCAAGATAATTCCTCTTCACTCAGTGCAGCCCAGGCAACCAAAATGTTTAAACATCCATGTTAATAGATGTCCCTTTCTTTTATTATAATCAGAGGCTTTGTAAACTCTTATGTTCTGATTTGCTATGCCAGTTACATTTAAACAAATAGATGAAAATATAAGTAACTGAACTGATTTAGTTACCATATTAAATATAAAGGACAGAGTTGTTTTACGTATTACATGAGACACATTTGACTTTCCTTCTACCTCAAAGGAACCACGGTGAGTCACAACTCTAATAATTGTTTGTGGCCCATTAATACTCCATACTTTAATATTAAATATATACATTGAAAGCATCTCATAGGATTTAAATTAAGTGGCCTTCTATCAAAAATGGACTGTTCAAATCTGATCTCTGTGCAAGTGTATTTATTTGGTGGGCTTGATATAAAATAAGGTAAATATTCTCTTAAATTTGACTGGATCTGATAATTATATATGTCTGTATAATTTTGTTGTCAACATAGAAATGGTTTGCCAATGGCTTTTTCTGGGATATTTTTTTAAAGTTTCCAGTTTCCAGCTGCCCTGGTAATCTCCTACCCAAGGTTGAATCGTAATGTGCAAATGCAGAATATTAACCCTGAATTTAGAGCCTTCCAAAGATTATAATGTAATTAGCCACTAGATGGCAGTAGCACCTGCTTTCATGCATCGTTTTTAAGAAATATTTTCCTTTTGTGAAGTGTGTACAATTTATATTCATATTACTCCTGCCAAAGGTTGTTCTACATTTTCTATAGCAAAATTCAACTTATTCTGTGCTTTGTGACCAAGCACTTCTTGATTCAAACATCACATAAGAGTCTGCTTCATTTCTTACCCAAAAAAATTAAATAAATCCTTATGCTGTGTCAAGGGTGATTGGCTTCTTTTCAGGTCTTAAGAACTGAACTAACCACTCTAATTGCTGGCTTTTCAAAGAATGTTCTGGATCAGGAAAGCCAATTGGAAGGAGCTTCCTAAAAGGGCATCCTCTAATTAGGAGGAGGGGCAGTCTAGTGGATTCCAAATGTTTCAATAACCCCTCTTATCCCCAGTATCATGCCCAAGGACACAGATTCTGGGAGATGTAGCTTGAACCAACTAAGGGTACCATGTTTTCTCACGCCAATTTTAAAATGTGCTGCATCCAAAATGCTATGGCATCTTTAAATGTCCCTTTTGAGGTGATGAATGCTTTGATTAAACCATTCTATGTAGAACAGCTGACCTGGCATATTTCAGAAGAATTGTCCCAATATTTAGATCAGTCATCAATGTGAAATGCTAAAAAAACCTTTTTGAGTAGTCTTTAAAGCTCATTTCATATTTTGCTTGCCCCGTGAAATGTCTTCAGTTCTTACCTGTATAACTGTGGAAGCATAATTTTTTGACCCAGTCCTCATTTAGGAAGGTATGTAAGCCTAGTTTTGAGGTTCTTTTTGTAGGATTTTTGTAATTTTCTATTTGGTTAAATGCTTTTCAGTGTATAAATATGTTCTTATTCTAACAAAGTTAGAATTTTTCAAAGCCCATCTTATCAAACTTTGGCAATGTTTCCTGCAGGAGTTTGATTATGCAACCTCTGTCAGATAGAGCAACTTCCATTTCAGTTTTGTGGTGTTGTGGATGAAAGCTGGACATTCAAGAATAAGACTGTCTGCCCCTGTAGCAAAATGAGGTGAGAATTACTGGATAGAATTGTGAAAGGGTTGAATATATTGCACCATCTAACATTGTAGCTGCAAGAATACCATTTTTGAATGCGTCTCCATATTTAGTAGAAAATAGTACTTTATATATAAAAAATGAGCAACTGGTGAGACAGGTCATGCATAGGTGAACACATTGATTTTTGTATTAGTTCTCTAGTTGCAGGGACTTGTCAGCATGGGAAATATTCAGAAACAGTTTCATCTATTCTGTTACTTCATCATTTTAGTCAGTTTCTTGTATAAACCAGACTTTGATTAGTATCCCACTGAAAGATTAATCAGAGCTATGTTTTGAAATAATAACCCAACATTGTAGAATTTCTGGCTTATTGATGAGAAACATACTTACAGAAATGTACTATTATGCTTGAATTTGAGTTTGAAGCTGTACTAGTCTTTCACTGCAATGAATTGAACTGAGTTTGAAGCTGATTTTCTCCTCCCTGGGGATAAACTAGGATCTGGATTTAGACATAACAG